CCCTGTCTTTTTAGCAGCATGAAAGACAGTGCTCTCCTAGTAGGAATTCATTTTGTACAATTTAGACTCCAGGCATTACATAAGTTTAAAAAAATGGCAATCACATAATTCAAAACACAACTTTCTTTTATAGGTGGGAAACTGAGGTCTAAAGAGGTAAAATAAAAGTGTTTCTAAAGTACCCAGCACAGAGTAAGCTTGCTGTCACGTTGGTAAGGAACTGATGTCTACACCCAGATGACTACCTGGGGCGTGCAGCAAGTCTGTTCTCAGCAAATCCCTACTTTCTCATAAATTCAGCAATGAAATGAGATAGTGCAAGTAAAATGCTGGCACGGTGCCTGCCACACAAGAAACTCTCGGCCACTGTTAGTGGACTGACACGCATATCCAAACGTGCTGTTTTAGGAGGGAGTGGGGTAGGACTGGAGGAACTGAGACTCAGCTTTCGGATATCATGAGTGAGTACTAAGCCCGTCTCCTGGCACGCACATGCTTATAATCACAGCTATTTGGGAGGCTGAAGTAGGAGGATTGCAAATTCAATGCCCGTCTGGGCAACTTAGTAAGGCCTCTTCTCAAAAGAAAAAATAAAAAGTTCTGGGGATTTAGCTCAGTGGTAGAGCACTTGCCTAGCACTACAAGGTGGTGTTTTTGTTTTTGTTTTTGAGGTGGGATTGAAGGGACAGAGGAGCAGAACTCTTTACACTGCCTCTTGGAAAGTTGGGCTGTCATTCTGGACAGCTTTAGACCTGCAGTCCCGTCCAGCTGGAGCTTTGATGTCTACCTGATGGCAGAAAACTGGTGTTTTTCACCTTAGAGAATCAGAGAATGGGTCAAGTTTTCTGGAGGTGTCCTCAGGGAACCAACATGCAGGTTTTGTCTGTGAACTGTTCTGCAGGTACCTGAGTACCTGGCTAGGCTGGAGGCTTCATGCTCTGTTTTCTTCCCCCTGTTTTGTGAGAATTCCATGAACCCCAGTTGTTGACCACTGGCTCTACGTCACAACCATGCACATATCAGATTTTACCCTGCAGAGAAAATGGGCTAAAGAACACTGGTGTCTTAAATCTAAAAATTTTAAAAGTGTGCAAACACCTGGTTTGCAGCAAGTTGGAGTATAGATCTTTTAAAATAACGGGTGCTTTTTTGCTGTACTGCCTCCCTGCCTGGTTTGGTTGTGGACATAATATATGTAGAGAAAAATGAATTTCAAGTTAATATTTTAATACCATAATGATGATAAATAATACTTAATGATGACTTAAAATATGCCAGGTACTGTGGTTAGTGCTTCACGATGTTATTTCATTTAATCTCCATTACAGACTAGCAGTTGGTAACCACTGTTGGATAGAGGTGGTTGAAGCATCTGCCAAAACAGAACAATGAAGTAGCAAACCTACAATTTGAAGCCAAGTCCATGATTTTTGAAGAGCAAAACTGCTAACCAGCACTATATGTGGGAACACATCTCAAAATCTGAACCCTTTGATCACTCCCTAGTATAGCTTTAGAAACATCTCTTTGATAAAATCGATTTTTGTAATTGAAAGTTGCTCACATTTCTAAGGGAATAAGCGATTTATAAAAATTGTAGCATTGCACCGAGGAGTGGTAATGCCCACCGGTAATCCTGGCACTATGGGAGACTAAGGCAGGAGGATTACAAGTTTGAGCCTGGCCTGAGCAACTTGCAAGACCCTGTCTGGGGAAGAAAAAAAAAAAGCTGGGGTGTGGCTCAGTGTGAAGGTCCTGGGTTCAATCCCAGAACCACAGACAAAAAAATTATACCATTCCATTTTTTTTCTTGAAGTTTCTCCATATTTCCATATTTATATGAATACACTCATGTATATTTGGGTATAATTCTGGAAATGTATACCAAAATGTGGTCATTAAATTAGAATTATGAATGGTTATCCCCCAATTTTGCTTGTTAATATTTTCAGATTTTGCTACATTAAATCTACGTGTTACTTGTACAACTTACAGAATAACTATAGGTGTATAAATTGTCATAAAAGGGAAAAAGCCCTTGGTTGGCTTGAGGCTAAGAAGTCTGGAAAGTAATTGGGAAGACTGCTGTTCCTCTTTTTCTTCCTTTAAGTTGGTAAATCATTCTTAGTCTTTTTTCAGGAAATGAAGTAAAAATGCCTATTTTCAAAACAAGTGATCCTTATCTATCTAATTCTTCCTTTCATGTCAACAGTCATTTATTTCAAACTAGCACCACTGGTGTGTATTTTAAAATCTCAATAACATCTTAATTTGGAAGGAAGAGAGAGATGGAGAAACTGCATGTCGTATAGTGTATGTCAGGAACAATAATAACCGGAAGCAAATGAAATGAATCTGTCCAGGCACCGTCACAATTTTTTGGAGCGAGAATAAATAAACCCAATTGTGAACGTACTCAGCTGAGGATAAAGAGCTGGTGAAGGTGTGTGGTGGAAATCCTCCCTGCAAAAAAAGAAGCTAGGGACCTTGGCAGTGCCAGCGAGAGTCCACACCATGCTAGGAGCCCAAGTAGAGGTTTCTTCCACCCACAGAGGACTTTTTAACTCACTTGTCTGTGCCCCTAAACACAGCACAGTCAGGCCAGGGATTTAGCTCAGTGGTTCTGTTGCCTGCCTTGCAAGTGCAAGGACCAGAGTTCAATCCCCGGTACCAAAAAAAAAAAAAAAAAAAGCCAGGCATGGTGGCACACACCTGTAATCCCAGCACTTGGGAGGCTGAGGCAGGAGAATTGCTGTGAGTTCAAGACCAGCCTCCACTACATAGTGAGTTCCAGGTCAGTCTCAACGACATAGTGAGACCCTGTCTCAAGCAACCAAAAAAACAAAACAAAACAAAACAAAAAAACCCCAGCACAATCATTGACAGTGAGGCTTCTGCCGTCTGGAACAACCTCAGAATGTGATCTCACTGAGAAAAATCTTTACAGGTGCAGTGAGGTAAGGATCCCAAGGTGAAGTTAATAGGTACTGGGCGTGAGCCCTAAATCTGATGGCCGACGTCCTTAGTGAAGAGGAGAGAACCAAAGACCCCATGGAAAAGGGGAGAAGGCTGAGTGAGGAAGAAAGCCGAGACTGGGGTGGCGCAAACACAAGCCAAGAGACTCTGAGACTGCGGGGGAAATCAGAAGCAAGGAAGAGGAAAGGAAGGATTCTTCCCCGGCGCCCTTAGAAGAGGCTCTGCCCATTCCGTGATTTGAGCCTGTAAAAGTGTTAGGGGGTAAATTTCCATCGCGTTAAACCAAGAGAGGGGAAAGAGAAAGGGAGAGAGAGACAGAGACACCTCTCTGTGTATTAGACCGAGACTTTAGGGACGTAGACGCTTCAGAGCCAGATTAAATGTGTACTATTAAGAATGAATCGCATGTATCAAAGACTTTTTATTAAGCCCCCCCACAGGTTTTAGCACACTGTTGACATTATTCATATTGTACCTTGATTTCAAGACAAACGTCAGCTTCTCTGTCTTGAAAGGTTAATGATGCTTGATTTGACTCCAAGCCACAGGTCATTAGAAGCAATTTAACTGTTAGAAGAGTCCTTAGTGTCATGTCTGGGTTCCACGTGAAGGGTCTCATCCCAGCTTCAATGGGGGAGTTTTTGTCAATTGAGTCATGACTCCCAAAACCGTGGTTTGCAGGGAGTTTACAGGGACTCCCGGCCAACACTTGGTTTAGATATAATTAGCCATCACTGGGCCCGCCTTCTAGGGTTTTGTGTGAAGGTGTTTCCACCTCCTTAGCACGGGCAGAACTCCTCCATGCTAAAATGGCTAAATGGTTTTTTTCTTGCAAGACTCTCTGAGAGAGGGTGACCCCTCTGGTCTCTTCTTTCCCTATGGTGAACATATTCAGCTTCTTAAAATGTATCCTCACCCACCTCCTCACTATTTCTTCATTTCCTTCCCTGCTGCCAGTACAATTTGGGGCTCTATTTTAAAGAGGTGCTTTTTTCTGTCTGGCTCGCTCTGCTAGCCTGGACTCCAAGCATCGGGTTTACCTGAGTTCATTCCTCTTGTCAGCTCCCGGGAAGCACTGATAAGAGAGGTAGCAGGAGGTGACAGAGAAGAGGGTCTGAGAAGAACCAATTATCAGCTTTAATAATTCAGTGTGTTTTGCAGTAATAGGCTACAAAGTAAACAGCACTACATATAAATGCCGTATTTCATTATTTATACACTCCAGCAATTGGAGTTTAATTAAGTCACATGCTTGAGACTTAAGCAATTAAGGAGACACTCGTCTCAGGCACCATGGAGGACGAGGAGGGGGGCTGCTCTCCCTCCAGCCGCCTCTGAGACTCTGAGGGTTGGTTTTCTCCTGAGCTTTGGGGAGGCTCAAGCCAATGCGACTGAGGTAGCATCAGTCCCGTGTGGTGCTCCATTCCTATAATACTGCTGTGCTACCATTGCCTACTTAAAAAATTTTAAATAAACTCAATAATATAAAACGAGGTGACATTTATTTATGTATTGACAGCAGTCTTGCAAGTTAATTCCTGAACACTTGAAAAGAATATGATTCCATGACTTTTGACTTTTGGTTGATTCAAAGAGCTATGCAGTCATCACCACTATCTAATTTCAAAATGTTTTCGTCACCCTCGAAAGAAACTTTGTCCCCACTACATAGTCACTCCACATTTGTTCCTTGGTTCCTGAAAACCACTGGTCTGCTTTGTCTCTAAGGCTTTTCCTGTTCTGGACTCCACACAAAAAGTATGTGGCCCTTTTCATTTCATGAGCTTCGCAAGTTTCTGTTCCCCAGGTTTGTAGATGCTATAGCATACATCAGTACTTCATTCCTTTTTATCACCAAATAACATTCCATTGTGTGATACTCCACATTTTATTTGCACTTGTGAATAATGCTCATATAAATATACATGTAGAAAATTGTGTAGGGACATGTGTTATCAATCTTCATATACAACTAGAAGTAAATTGTTAGCTCATGTTGTCCTTTCTGTATTTCACATTTTCAGGAACTGCCAAACTTTTCCCAAGTGGCTGTCCCAGTTTATAATCCTCCACATTGTAAGTTGTTTATTTTTTGAAAGAACCTTGGTGCATGCCAGAAATTGTCAGTAAAATCATAAATAGAAGGTGAGTATCATGGGGAAAAAAAGAAGAAACAAAATATATCATGTACATGTTACAAATTTCCCATGATGAATGCTATTATATATTCCTAAAAGGTATCAATAAAAGAAAGAAGGCGATTATCAAGTACTATAAAAACTAATAGTGTTGCCTATTTCTAGCTTGGCCTGCTACGGTTCTCTCTGTGCTTGAGGTCTGCTGTCTTTCCAACTGCAAGAGATGACTGGGCAATACTAGAAAGGTGTTTAGGGGCCAGGGACTTGACTCAGTGGTACCATGCCTGCCTCTCAAGTGCAAGGTCCTGAGTTCTATCCCTGGTACCAAAAAAAAAAATCTATATCTATATCTATATTAGATATATAATATTATATATCTATATGTATATATAGAAAAGTGTTCAAGACATATTGGCACGAGAGACTTTCTGAAGAGCTCGCTGAAAAAGAACTGAAAATGGACCGCTTCTCCCTGTGACTCAGTGTTACGGATGTTGTATCTAACAATGTATGTAAGCCATTACCTCGTGGGAAGACAGGGCATTAGGAGACACTGGGCTTCATGCAAGCCCATGTCAGCCTGTTTTAGCAGCCAGCTCTGTGAGTACATTGAACAAGTAATTCAGAAGAGGCCGGGGAGCATGTGTCATTGCTTTTTTTTTTTTTTTTTTTTTCCCTCAAAGCCTGATGTTTTCCCGGAAAGCTCTTCAGTAAATTTGAGAAACCATCAAAATGCTGCTTTTTAAATAAGATAACAGGTATTAACCCAGTAATTCTGTTTCTAGGGATGTAACCTGTTAACGTTGAGGTGTAAAATGTTGCCAAATATCTCAGGGGTTTGGAAGGTGATGGGTCGGGTCATAGGGTGCTGCGCTCATCAGCGAATGGGTCCATCAATGAGTTCATGGCCGAGTGCACTCTCCGGAGATGGTCACTGGGGCTGTGGTCTGGAAGGGTGCATTGTTGTCCCCGGTCTCTCTCTTCCCTCTGCTCCCTGGCAGCATGGGTTGAGCACCTTCTCCACTGCAGGCCCCTCTGCCATCCTCTTTCTGCCTTGCAACCAGGCAACCATGAACTGAAACTGTGGGCCAAAATAAACCTCTCCTCTTTAAACTGTTGGTGTTGGGTATTGTGTCTCAGTGGTGGGAAAGTGACTAAGATGTAATCTAAGGAAATAATGTAGAAGAAAGAAAAAAAAGCATTGGCCCTCAGATGTTTCGTGCAAGATTTTTTTATAACTGAGAATAATTGAAAACAACTAAGGGAAGTGATTTTAAGTTAGTTGTTTTAGTTGGCTAGAACAGTACACAGCCAATAAAAATAATGGTTACAAAGACTTAAAAAGTAACAAGGGTGAAAGAATCAATGTAAGACTTTACACTACCTGCATAGTTTTCATAGCTATACTAACTGAATGAAGATGAGAGTGCAAAATGCAAAAGCCAAAGTTTTATGGGGCAAAAATTTGTCTTCATTTACCAACTTTAATATTTCAATCATAATGTTTTATGCTTTTAAATTTGAAATGTACATTATATAGTTTATTCCAATCTTATTTCTAAAGAGAGAAATACTCTTTGTTTCTATTATGTTCTGTAGATTGTATATAATAAGTGTGTACTGGAGGTAAATTACAGCGACAGACTAAGTAGTCAGCAGCTGAAGTAATTTTGGGGAGGGAAATTAACCAGACCCATGGTAGAGAATAAAAGCGAGGAGCTCCAAGGCAGTGGCAGGGGAGACCTGTCTTCCTTGGCCTTTCGTGGATGAGGAGCTGAGAAGGTTCCAGGCGGGGGACAAAATTTGTGTAAAGGTTCAGGATGTGAACCCAGCCTTTGGGGTCTCAGTAGAAAGCGTGAAAAGCTGGTGGTGGGGAGGCCACGGAACTGCAGGGTTAGGAGGCTGGAAGCTTCTGCTCAGCAGGCACTGGGAGGGAGGATCTAACCCTTCAGAGAGTGGAGGGGAAGAAGAGAACTGATGAGGGACACTTGTATTAACAAGGAAAGGAAGGAGGCAGAAGAGCTTCGTGGTAGGGTTTCCCTTGCAGGATGTTCGGGTGGGGGGTGTGGCAGTGAAAAGCAAGGAAGACTGGGGCCCTGTCTGCCCCCGAGGCCCCTGGGGCAGGAGAGGCCCAATGGGAGGCAGTGTCCTCCGGAGGCAGGCTGATTTAATTAGGCAGGAGGGGAAGGAACACTCTGAGAAAAGGCTCCTGGGGTGGGCATTCCCTAGGGCACAGGGCAGAGTTTGGGAGAAGAGGGGGTGAAGCCAGCTAAACCGTGAGTGCCTGACTCCAGCTTCACATGGGCAGGTGGGAACACAGTGTGTTAATAAGCAGTCTCCAGAGCCTCCCAGAGACCTGCTGACTTCTGGCTCTGCTTCCTGCCATAGCGCTGATTCCCATTTGGGCTGTTCCAGCATGCTGACCAGCGTGACTGTCATCAGCTCTGTCCTTAGCAAGGTCTTAGCAAGAACCCTGGGACAGCAAGTGCATACACCAGCCCCCTTTCCTACGTATAAATACAAATGCAGTTCAATAAGGATCTATTCCCTGCCCTAACCCAGGGATTTGAGGGGTTAACAAGTCCCAGGTTCTGGATGGGACTCCTTGGATCCTCACAGTCTTGGGTGACATTTGAGAAGTGCTGGGTGTGCCGTTGGTAGGAGCCAGTGAAAAGCCACCATGGCAGCCCCTAAACCTTGTTATTCATGCGATTGCACAACAGCCATGCTTATGTTACGTGGAGCCTGGGATTTTTAATGTAATGTGAGAGGGAGCAAAGTGGGCCAGCAAAGTTCTTATTAAATCCCAAGCCCTGACCCTTGAACAGGCACTGAGAGGCTTTTATTTCCCTTTTTTAGTACCTGTCACCGGACACCCTGAAAGACTGCATTGCCTGGCCCTTGCTTTCTTTACCGTGCAGGCCCTGAATCACTGGAGCCTGCAAACAAAAGAGGAGGTGGTTCACTGAGCTGCAGAAGAATGCCAGATTTTTTTGTTTTGGTTTGTTTTGTTTTTGGTGCTGGGGATGAGACCTAGGGCACTGTGCATGCTAGGCAATCACTCCACAACTGAGCCACAGCCACAGCCTGTAATGTTTTCAATGGAAACAGAAGCATTTGTTTAATAGTCTGGGGTTCCTAAAAATATAGATAATAATAAAATTAATTTATGTGTACCCAGCACTCAGCTTAAGGAACACCATTTTGTGTGTGTGTATTTTTCTTTGTTTGTTTGTTTTGGTACTGGGGATCGTCGAACTAGGGATATTGTGCTTGTGAGGCAGGTGGCAGAACCACTCAGCTAAATCTCTGTCCCCAAGGGACACACTTTTAAATCCAAAGACATAACTACTGCCTTGCATTTGATGGTTTTCATTCTTATGTATGCATTTGGCTTTTACTACTTATATCCACAAATAAAATGCAGTAGAATCCTCTCTAGCTTTAGTTAAATGATATCATCTCATTCCTGTTCTTCTTACAGCTGCTTTTTTTCCTGTTTGTCCTTACGCTGTTATGTGCCTTTGTAGTTTATTCCTTTTTGCGGCTTTACAGCAGTCCACCCTTGAAACCTATCAAATATGTTCACAATTCTCCATTGCATAGACAGCAAAGTTTATGCCCAGTTTTTCATTATCACAATCAGGGCTCCTAAGAATGTTCTCGCATGGGACTTAGGCAAAAGTGCAAGAGATTCCTCAGGTTGTACATGCAGAAGCAGAACTGGAGGAATGGAACACATGTCTATCAGTTGTCACCCCTGCTAACGGTTGCCTGCTGCTTCTGAAGTATTTGGACCAGTTTCCCCTGCTCCCAGCAGTACCAGAGCTGTCTCCTCCCCCGAATGAACAGTGCAGGCAAACTTTTACCTTATTTTGTCATTTCTGCCAGCCTGAAAATAAAATTGAATCTTTTTATTGTTTGAATTTGTGTTCCCCTGAGGAACACAAGTTTGAAACCTAAGGTTAAAGCCCTATTACTCATGCAGAAGCTCAATATGTAAAGCTAAACTAGGTAGAGCAGTTCTGGTTGGGGGCAGGAGAAAAATGTTCGTATTTAAGATAGCCAAGTGGTGGATTATTCTTAATACCTGTGTTTTGTGCTTTGCTTTTTCTGTACCAGGCATCAAACCCAAGGCCTCTTTAATGCTAAGCAGGTGTCGTATCCCTGAGAGATATCCCCAGTCCCAGATGTTTGTACCTTCAAATCACACTCATGCTCCAAACATTGGGCAAAATCTTAAGCTTTGAATCTTTTTGTAGCATATTTTGGCAGTGTCTTGACCATAATTTGTTAGTTGACGATCATTTTAGTGTTATTTCTAGTATAGCCTTTCCTCACCTTCATCATGGTTAAACGAGAGTTGGCTTTAATAGCAGGGACTTTGTAACCTTAGGGAGAAAATGGGCAGGTGAGTCTGGCGGGTGGGTGTCCCCATGGCTTACAGGCTCAGCCGTGATTCAGTATTTGCTGTGCCTGGGCTCCTGCATGAGGCTCACAGCTCACTCCCTCACTGCCACAAGTCACCGCAGAACTGTCCTTGGTGGTGCACTGTACCGTCCTGCACCACCCTGCACCAGCCCACCAGCCACTCCTGGGCCCCCCAGTTCCTGTGTAACACCTACCACGTTCGTGTTTTCTGTATGAATTACTTAGGTACCAACCCCTTTGGCTGTTAACTTAGATCTGTCTTTCCTTTTTCTTCTGCCAAACATTACTTCTGCAGGGGGAGGTATCTGTCTCATTTGTTCACTGCTGTCTGTTCCAGAATCATGCCTGGCACATGATCAGCTATTAGTAAAAATTTGATTAATAATTGGGCTGTAGTTAGCAAGCAAGGTGGGGGAGCATTTCAGAGAGAAACAATAAAATGTGAAAATGAATGAATATGCATGTGTTGAGTCTCAGACCAGCAGCATGAACTTGAAACAGGATGGGAATGGAAGTGTGACAGTGACCATGATTGTGAATGGCCATGGGTCTGGGCAGTGGGGTGTTGGGGGCAGTTGCAAAAGACACAAGTAGGAGCCATCACTAGCAGTTTGGACTTGACTTTGAAGGCAGTGCCAAGACTGCGTGTTTTTAACCAAAGGAATAGCACTCTTGCATTTTAGAACACCACTCCCCTGACATCAATAAAAACAACACATGGGGTGGGACTTAGACAGCAGAGGCCAGTGGGCCACCAGGCGCTGTCACAGTGACTGAAGTGAGAGAAGGCAGTAGCTACATCAGGCAATGGGAGGGGCATAAAGAGAAGTGGACGATTCCCAAAGATACCATCTTCTCCTTGATCCCCAAAGTGGAATCCAAATAATTCACTGCATCTGGCCTTGGCTGAGCATGATGCTGTGCTTCTGCTAAGCATGAGCTGAAGTAATCGAATTGGAAATTGGAAGTAATCAGATTTCCGGAGCGCTCCATCCACATCTTCAGCTTTCCTCCTGGTGAAAGAAATCTGGAGCAAGCCTGCCGTTGTCCACCAGAGCAGAGAATAATGGAGCAGTGTGTGGATTGAACGCAAAGGTTTTGGAAGGCAGGTGGCACTTGACATCCAAGTTCCCCTGGTTTCCAGATCTTTCATGCAAGTAAATTAGTTTCATTTGTCTCAGGACACCTTTTCCAGGCCAACTTCTTCCAACTTTCCTGCAAATGTTTCTCAGTGGTGTGTTTGAGGCTTGGCTGCCTCTCCTTGTCTGGAACGAATCTTTTATTACTAGGAAATAGTTGGATGGTGATCCCGGACCCTATTCCCTTCCCAGCTGTTGACTGACTATTTGATACCTTGATGGCTTGCAGATTAACCTGCCCCCTCTCCTGCCTGTTTCTCATTAGTAGGAATTTCATACTGGAAGCTGAATTTCATACCCACAACCCCACCAGTCTTTGGCGAGACAGTTAGATTAACACCTGTTTCTTCATGAGTCTTCCAAGATGGAATTGGGGGGGAGCACATTTTTTTTTTGCTCACCTCCCACACTTGCGTGATATTCCTTTGGTCTGGTGGTCACGCATTCCACTGCAACCTAAAAACATCCAGAGGACAGCAATATCATGTTGCTCATTTCACGTGGGAAAGCTACATCCCATTCTCCTCTTCAAGTTGCACTCAAATCTAATTTTCATGGCCCATGCAAGTGGGAGCCCCACAGCCCTGTGTCAGCTGTTGAAGTTTAGCAATATTTTTCCAAACATGGGCCAGCAGGCAGCCAGCAGGCACTAGACAGCTAAGAGCTGGCAGAGAAAGTCCCAGACACCTATAGCAATCCAAACAGTGACTCACCCTGCTTTCGCCAGGATAAATATGGGAATAAATGGTATTTTTCTGTGAGAAGGAGGAATTGTCAAAATGCTTATCACTTTATAAAATACAACAGATTGTGCCTGTTCGTGTTTTGAAATGTTCCAACCATTCACTGGCTTTTTTTTTTTTAAGCTTAGTTCTAGCTTTAATTCGCTTTTCTCTTCTCTAGGAGGCCCGGAGAACCTAGGCCTTTCCACGCTGTGCTGCCCCCCGAGCTCTGGATGCACCTGGCCGTGGTGGCCTGTGGCAGCCGGGTGGAGGAGACGCTGGTCATGCTCAAGTCAGCCGTGCTGTTCAGCCACAGGAAGATCCAGTTTCACATCTTCACCGAAGACTCGCTGAAGCCTGAGTTTGATAAGCAGGTGAAATTGCAGTGATCGTGGCAGTGTTTAACTAAAGGCAGAAACAGACTGAAATACAGGGGCCGCACACCCTTCTCACTCAGGTTTTTTGCTGTGTGCTCAATTTTGTGACCTCGGACACTTGACTCTGAGCTTACTACTTTTTGTACGTAGAGATAATTATGCCCACCCCATAAAGGTAGTGTGAGTATTCAATGACATGATGCCACCAAGGCACTTGATACAGAGCTCAGTTCTTGTTGGGGTTATCAACATTGTTCTCTTTTGGAGGTCAAAGGAAAAAATACACACACACACAGACATATATATATATATTAACAATATACATTCATTGAGACAAATTCAATAATATAGATGATAAAGGATAGAATTCTTTACTACCCTTCAGAGTTAGTATGTTTGAGTGTTTCTTCCATAAGTTTTTGCATCTGTAGGTGTGTGTGCACATTTCTGAACGTTTCCACGTTCAAGCATGGGTTTAGTCATGAACACACTTACATATACATATATAGGCACACATGTATGTTCAGATTTAAGTGTATTGCTTTTGCAAAACCAGCATTGTACTGGGATGTTGTGGTCTTTGTTTTTCTGCACGTAGAACCATATCTTCATCGCCGTCTCCAGTCAGCACTCTGATTCCAGCACCCTTACCTCCTCCTCTTTGGTGGTGATGTAATATTTTATTACGTAGCTGGGTCACAATTTGTTCGGTCATTCCCATCTCGAGTATTACCAGGATATAAGCAGAGCTTTACAAAGGCCCCTTCCCCAGTGGAGGTACATGTGTGACTTGGCAGGCCGAACTTTGTTTTCTTTGAAAGTGTTCTCTTGCAGAAAGTTCTTGAATGATGCAGAGAGATGATGTTTTGTTTTGTTTCTGTAGACTTGAGCCAGCAGTACTGTGTCCTGTCAATAGGACAGCTGCACTAAGGAGAAAGCAAAAACAGGATGTTTCCTAAGAAAGGCGAGTAATGGGAAGCTAGAATGTGTGTCATGTTTTCTAAAGAAAAAAATACCCTTAGCACCTTTCCCAAGACAAGTGAGAGGAACCAGCAGTCTCAGGGCTTTGGAGGTGATTGGAGGAATGCCTTGTAAAAGCCTCCATTTCAGGAAAGGGAGTGAAAAAGGTTGAAACACTCCTAGTTAGCTGTGGTATAATAATGATGATGACATATAGCTGCAAAATAAAAATGATAATCTATAGTATATGCCATATACTATAAAAATGATAATCTATAGTATATGCAATTTATGATTTCATTTCATTTACTTCTTGTAGCACCCCTTTGTAGGAGGGAAGCATTGTGCCCCTGTTTAAGTTTTTCATTGTAACGAAATTCTTAAGGCTGAGTAACTTTATAAGGAAAAAAGTCTCTTTTTTTTTCTTTTTATTGAGTTTATTGGTACATTTTAGGTATACAGTACAGTTACATTCATCATTGGGATCTTGTGCCTTTACATGACAGGTCTTGGTTCTCATGTTTTCCCCTTGTAGGAAAAAAGTCTTTTTAGATTACAATTCTAGAGATTCAGAGGCATGGTGTCAGCATCAACTTGGCTGTAGTGGGGATCTCACAGCAGATAGCGCCACCATGCCAAGAGCTTGTATGGGAGGAATGGATCTCATCACCAGAAAGTGAAGAAAGTTAGTGTGTGACCTGGCTTTTATCCTCTTGCAAGAACTAACTCAAGAGTCCTATGAGAACTACCTTAACTCCATCCAAGCATATGACTGTCTGCTGAACTTCAGACCTTCCAGCAGGCCCCCATCCTGAGGACCATACTCCCAACACCTGAACTCAAACTATATCTGAGCCATAGTATTCGCCTTTTGCAGGCTGAGATAATTGAGGCTTAGAGAGCTTTACTGATTTCCTTGCCGGCTGTCAGGTCACATTTACTGGTTCAAACCTCCATGGAATTAAGCACTGTACCCATACTACCTCCTGAACTAGTACAAGACTCAAATTCACAACTCAGTTCCACTATTTACTTGTTGTGTGACCACGGGAAGGCTCTTGACCTTTTAAACCCTCGGTTTCCCTCTCTGCAACTTGGGGCTTAGCAGGATTGGAAAAAGACAAAACAGATCTGTAGTCAGGATAGGTCAGGTCAGGCAGCAGTAACCACTCCCCTAAAGCTCAGAAGCTTGTCCTTCAGAGGGGACAGTCTCAGTTCCACACAGCCTCTTAGGTCTGGGACAGAAGTTGGCAGAGGATGATCATATATACAGCTGCACCTGCTGTGGCATTTCCCGGAGACCCTGAATGCCCCCGTAGGGAAGAGGCTGCAGAATCAGGATCTCACCTTTCACTGCCTCGAATGACATACTTTTCTCTTCAACACTTTTAATTGACAAGAAGCAGTCACAGTCCCATCCTACTGCAGGGGTTGGAGGACTGCTCACGTGCAAGAATGGAGGGAAACTGGCTGTGGATGAACACTAGCCGTGTCCTACACAGTAACCATCCAGTGAGGGCTTATGGAGCTCCCTATTGCAGGATAGAGGCTGGGCAGGAGGATGGGACAGAACAAAATGCAGGCTTGGACTTAAAGGAGAAGAGGAAAGGAGGATGTGTGACTATAACTGTGTGTCTGATTACACTTTCCAAAGAAGCCCCCAGTGGTCCCATCTGTCATCCATGCCCTTGTGTAATTTCCCTCCTCTACAGTTGCAGGCTTCATCTGTGTGACCAGTAGCATAGGACAGAAGTGATGGTCTGTATACTAATTATGAAATCAGATTATCAGTAGGTCACTTTCTCCCATAGATTATATCCTCTGGGCAGAGCCAGTGGTCATATCAGGCTAGTCTTTGGGGAGTTTTACATAATGAGGACCAAGGCCTCTCTCTAGCATGTGTGTGACTGAGCTTGGAGGTAGACCACACCCTCCCCTAGCATCCAGATGACCGTAGCCCCCTGACCTCACAAGAGGATTTGAGCCACGAACACCCAGCTCACAGATTCCTGGCTCTGAGAAACTACTAGAGATAATAAATGTGTGTGGTTTTAAGCTGCTAAATTCTGGGGTAATTTGTTATAAGGCTGTAACAATACTTTACATAATCCTGCACACACACTCATGGATACACATTATGTGTTTATGAAATAGAGTATGCCCAGTGGAGGGCTATGTGGCATCTGAGGCTAGGCCATGAGAAGCATTCAGCTTTCGCCTGGAATCTAGCCAGCGTGTTTGAGGGAGGCCAAAGTGGCCCCATGGAGAGACCCATGTACAGAGGAGCTGAGGGCCTTAACCCTGTCCAGCTTCTACCTCCAGACACGTGAGTGAACAAGCCTTCAGATGGTTTCCAGCCCCTGGACTTCAAGATTCCCTTTCAGCTGAGACCCCAGATGCCATGAAGCAGAATGAATCTGTCCCTGTTTTGCCTTCTCTGAATTCCTGGTCGGTGGAATCTGTGAGCATTAAAAAAAAAAAAAAAAAAAAAATGGTTGTTTTATGAACAACCTTGAAATGTCATAAATTAAGAGCTAAATTATGTAGGATATTACCATAGATACTTGTGAAGGCGTGCCATGTTTTGAATTACCCTGGTGACTTTATCTCTTATGCTGCCTTGATTCTCCTAAGTTTCTGCTAGACCCATGAAATTCAACCAGTGAAGGAAATTATAATAGGGTGTTGCTATGGCCTGGGTCTGAAATGTCTCCCAAAACCCATGTGTTTGAAGTTTAGTCCCACCTTGGTGCTACTGAGAGGTGGTGGAACATTGAGGAGGCGGGCTCAGCAGGAAGTCTCCCATTGACTGTGGGCATGCTTCTGAGGAGGGTATCAGGACCCTGGCCCCTTGGTCTCTCTTTTGCTTCTCTGCCGTAATGTGAATGGGCTTCTTCTACCACATACTTCTATCACGGTGTACTTTCTTGCCACAGGTGGAAAAGCAACATGGCCAGCCAATCATGGACTAAAACCTTGGGAACTGTGAGACAAAATAAACCTTCTGCTTTTCAGGTTTAGTGTCTCAGGTATTCTGTTACAGTGAGGGAAGGCTAACACAGGTATTAAGAGCTGGACAGAGCAAATGGTATCACCTTCATTCTTTTCCCTACGGAGATCATGGTGCCAGTCTAGACGTAAAACTGTGGTTCTCATTTAAAGTGAGAGAATTCTCTCAGTCTCGGTTTTGTTGCCTGTATCACTGGGCAGACAGTTTTTTCTGTACTTATTGAAGAGTGTAATTGTGGGGCTAAATCAGATAATATATTTGTTTTTTATTCTACCAAGGTTCTTAGAATGTCTCCTGTATGTTGGATACTTCGTTAGGCCTGAAGATACAGAACAGCAGTAGTTGGTTTTTTGGCCAGCACAGGCTGAGTCCTGGTGCACAGACAGGCGATGTCACCTCTTCCTGGACTGTCCTCCAGCATGGCACCATCGTGGGCATAGGCATGGTTTCTTGTGATAACTTCCTGGGAAGGTCAGGTCACATATTTATGTCTCAGTGGTCATTGTAATTCTGGAGGCTGCAATCAGGGCAAGTTCTTTAGTTTTTTTGTTAGTACGTGTTTGCTACACATAATGAATACATTATATATCACATTTAATATATAACATTAATATATATTGCTATATATCACATTTATCTTTTTTCTTCCCCTCTTTTTCTCTCCCTCCATTCTTAGATCCTCTTACCATTTCCAAAAGGATCATCTCCCTTTTTCTTATTGTACCTTATTTCACTCTTTAAATTATTTATACTTTTGATTTCTTACATTAGAGAAACCATGCAATATTTAATTTTCTGTGTCTGATTTGTTTTACTTAGCACCCTGGTTTCAAGTTACATCCATTTTCCTCCAAATGACTCACACCCACCCTTCTTTATTGCTGTATAGTATTCCATTGTGTATAACCCCCCCCACACACACAGTGTCTCCCTCTATCTGTTTGCTTATGGATGTACAGAGAGGCTGGTCCTAAGGTCTAACTCTTATGGGCTGTGCTGCTGTAAACACGGGGATGCAATCACCACA